CGGAGCCCAGCAGGTCGAGGCTGTGGTGGCTGGGAGCAGTCACTGCACTCCAGTCTGGGCGACAGAGTGAGACTCCAACTCAAAAAAAAAAAAAAAAAAAAAAAAACTGGGGGCAGAGAGGCGCCCTCCCTGTCTGCGGGGGGTGCTGACATTGCAGTCATTTCCGCCCATCCTGGCTTCCTCCTCCACCTCAGCTCGCTCTTCCTTCCTGTGTAAAAACCCCAGCTGACTCTGCCGTGGCCTTGCACCCCGGGTCTGGGCCCACCTGGCCTGGGCTGGCTGCAGAGCGTGAGCGATGGATCATGGTCCCCAGCGTCGCACTCCCCGTCATGACTCCTGCGCCCAGGGAACAGGCCTGGTTTCCTGCTTGGCCAAGCCACAGACCAACAGTCTGTGTGGCTTTGGGGCTGTGGGGGCAGGGCGCTACTGCCAGCCACTACCTCAGAGCACGGGCAGGGGCTCATGCACAGGGTCCTGGGGCCACAGAACTGCAGGGTGTGCCCGCCAGCTTGGGCGAGATGGTCCTGCCAGTGAGGGACTGGGCAGGTGGCTGTCTTCATGTTTAGTATGGAGACATTGATGTATGATATTATGGAGTCACTCTGGGCCCGGGGACTGGGGATAGAGGCTGGGGAGGGCACAGGTTGCTGGTGGCCCACCCAGTATCCACCCTCTGGGCTCTCATTCCCTCCTTTCCTCTACCTGGTCTTCTTCGAAGGACGCTTCTAGAAGCTGCCTGGGCCGTGTTAGAGTGGGTGCCACGGTGGGTCAGGTGGATTTCAGAAGCACAGGGCAGACCAGGCATGGTGGCTCACTCCTATAATCCTCGCGCTTTGGGAGGCTGATGTGGAGGATTGCTTGAGGCCAGGAGTTGGAGACCAGCCTGGACAACATAGCAAGATCCTGTCTCCACCATAAAATAAAAATAATAAAGAAGCACAGGCAGCCAGCCATGACCATTGCTGTGGCTTTCAAACTTTGGCTTCAGCCTGCGATTAAAAAATACATTTTACAGCCAGGCTCGGTGGCTCAGCCTGTAATCCCGCACCTTTGGGAGACTGAGGTGAGTGGATTGCCTGAGCCCGCGGATTCGAGACCCGCCTGGGCAGCGAGACCTCATCTCTACAATAAAATTTAAAAATCAGCCAGGCGTGGTAGCGCATGCCTGTAATTCCGGCTACTCGGAAGGCTGAGGCGGAAGGATCGCCGGAGCCCAGCAGGTCGAGGCTGCGGTGGCTGGGAGCGGCCACTGCACTCCTGTCTGGGTGACAGAAAGACTCCAACTCAAAAAAAAAAAAAATACATTTTACATTGTGTCCCATTAAATAAGCATGCATTTATTTAGAGAGAAAACAGAATCAAAACTTTAATAAATGAGTACTTACGATGTAGAAGTGCATATAGATATTTTCTCTCTAACTTTTCTTTGTTTTGTTTGTAGAGACAGCCTCTCACCGTCACCCAGGCTGCAGTGCAGTAGCATGCTCATGGCTATGGCCGATCACGGGTCACTGCAGCCTCAACCTCCTGGGCTCAGGTGATCCTTCCTCCTCAGCCTCCCGAGTAGCTGGAACTACAGGCACATGCCACCACACCCAGCTAATTTTTATAATTTTTGCAGAGAAGAGATCTCCCTAGGTTTCCCAGGCTGGCTTTTTTAAATTTTATTTTTATTTTTTGAGTTGGAGTCCACTCTGTCACCCAGACTGGAGTGCAATGGCCGTTTCCGGCCACCGCAGTCTTGACCTGCTGGGCTCCGGCGATCCTTCCGCCTCAGCCTTCCAAGTAGCCGTGGGTCTTGAACCCACGGGCCCAGGCAGTCCACTCACCTCAGCCTCCCAAGGTGCGGGATTACAGGCTGAGCCACCGAGCCCAGCCCAGGCTGGTTTTGAACTCCAAGTGAGCCTCCTGCTTCAGCCTCCAGAAGTGCTAGGATTACAGGCTTGAGCCACTGCTCGAACCCCTTTTTCTTTTCTTTTCTTTTCTTTTTTTTTTTTTTTTTTTGAGTTGGAGTCTCACTGGGCTCAGGCGATCCTTCCACCTCAGCCTTCCAAGTAGCTGGAACCACAGGCATGTGCCACCACACCCAGCTAATTTTTTATTTATTGTAGAGACGAGGTCTTGCCAGGTTGCCCAGGCTGGTCTCGAACCCCTGGGCTCAGGCAACCCTCTCGCCTCTGCCTCCCAAAGCATTGGGATTACAAGCGTGAGCCACCGTGCCTGGCTTCCTTTATATTTTCTAAGGATGCTGGTTGCAGACTGACTAAATGGGTTTTGCAACTAGCTTGTAGTCCCCAGTCTGAAACTGGTGGCCGGAGGAGACGGAGTGTTTCCCTGGGCTCCACCGCCCCCCAGAAAGCCCTTCATGCTGCCTCTGCATGCCAGGGCCTGCCCTACCCTGGTACTTCCCTTCGGCCAGACCCTCCAATGGGCAGTGAGGGTCTGTGCTTGGGAGCTGCCCTTGCTTGAGGGAAGGTGGCCTGGGGACTGGGGAAAGCCCGGGGGACGGTCTGGAAGGAACAGCTCACAAAGCTGGAATCCTGGCTTCCAGCCTCTGTGGCTTTTCTTGAGGCCCCTTGTCTTTTATCGGCTGGCCTCCGGCCCCAGCCCTCACCAACCCTCAGCCACTCTTTGCTTCATACTGTGGGTTTTGGAGGAGGGGGGACCAGCAAGCCCGGCTGTCCCTGCCTCCCTTTCTGGAAGACTTCCAGAATGCTCCACACCCAGCCTATTCCAGCCTCCTCACTTCCCTCCCTAGTGACTAGAGGTGTTAATGTCCTCGTAAGTGGCCCAGACATCCACACCTCCGCAGATAACCATCTTGTCCTGCCCACAGCATTGCAATTAGCCAATTGTCCTCTGCTCCCCTGTGGGGGGAAGGGACTTGCACCTGACCTGGTAGCTGCTTTTGCAGGGTAGCTGGGACCCATGAGATGTGACCACAGAGCTGAAGACTTGTGGCTTTCCTGAGTGCAGTTAAAGTCTGTCAGATCCGGGCCCTGCACAGCCATCTCGCAGTCACTCGTGGAGTTGACTTAAGATGCAGACTTGGCCAGGCACGGTGGCTCAACCTGTAATCCCAGCACTTTGGGAGGCTGAGGCGAGAGGATTGCCTGAGCTCGGGGGTTTGAGACCAGCCAGGGCAACTTGGTGAGACTCTTGTCTCGACAATACATTACAAAAACTAGCCGGACGTGGTGGTGTGCATCTGTAGTTCCCGCTACTTCGAAGGCTGAGGTGGAAGGATCGCCTAAGTCCAGCAGGTGGAGGCTTTGGTGGCTGTGAACGTGCCGTTGTACTCCAACCTGGGCGACAAGAATGAGACTCCAACTCAAAAAAAAAAAAAAAAAAAAGGATACAGACTCACAGGCCACCCCCTCGTGGCTGCCAGAATCATCACCTCGGGATGGACCCGGAATCAGCATGTAGGACATGGTCCCTGGGTTTCGGTGCTGCTTTCTGAAGTCTGAGAGCACCACCCAAAAGTGAAAAGGCTGCTCAGTCCCTAAGTCAGAGGACTCCAGATCTGGTCCCAGAACCCTGGGGGACTTGCCTTGTTGGGACAACTCCCAACTTCCAGAAGAGTTTGGGGAAGGATGGTGGTTAGAGCCACACCCTTCGTTTTGAGTCCACAATAGTGTTCCTGTTATGGAAGGTTTCACTCGCTTCCCAGATTAGCACAATGTCTCCCCGTTCTTTCTAAAGTTCAATGCATCTTGCAGAGAGAAGACTTGCTCCCCTTGAGGAATGCTCTGGGAGACATCGGGAGGCTCCCGGCTCTGCCATCCCATGGCTGGGGGGGGCTGTTTGGTCCTGTAAAATGGGGACATGAGGACATTTGAGAGGCGACTGAAAGGAAAACACCAAACCCTTGGCATGTGACATACACGTTGTCAGTCTTAGTATCCTTACTTTGGAGATAGACTTGTCTGCTTCCTGCACGGCTCCAAAGAAGGAGACATGAAGTGTGGAGTCTGGCAGAAAAGTTTGGGGGTTGGTTAGTACCGAGATGGTGTGGCACTTTTTGAGGAAAGGTATGAGTTGTACTTCTGTGGTGAATGGTTGTGTCATCATTACAGGCTCGTGGGGTTGACAGGCCTGGCCCGTGCGTGGGATGAAGGGTCGGGGTTGGAAACCGGGCCTCGGGTTATGAGCACTATCGGCATCCATGGGTGGGAACCCTTAGTCCCTGGAGTCCCTTTATGGGAACCTCAGCTTTTTAAAACTTGCATGCTTACTTATATATTGATTTTCTGTATACAATTTTGTGTCTTTTAATATAACACAGTAATACAGTAAACACCCGTTTAATTACTTACCATGCAGTTCAATAAATAGAACATTATATGACTGTACCCCTATCAAAACAGTGTTCACAGACTGGGCAC